AACAGCTTTTGTTGCTTTCAATCAACTTTCTTCTTTGCTTTTCCTCCTAGATCTGTTTTTAAAATCGATTCACTAACACATTCATTGAGAACAGTTAACACTTCAAGAAAACTGTTTCCCTCTGTCATTGCCCAGTTGCAGCCTAGCATTCTTTAGGTCATGCATAGGTGTACTGCAGCATCTACCAATGGCAAGTCAAGCAGTTCCAGTAATCAGCCTTTTCAGTACTAAAATACCGCAGCAGTAAGTTCTTCAGCAAGGCAGCTTGGGCCCAGAGCCTATCTGCCTTCTTCCCTCATCCTTAAAGTACTGCCGTGGCAGATTGGAAATTTCTCTTTCCCCTCTGGCATCAGCAGCTAACAGAGTGCACGCATATTTGGTAAACACTCCTCTTGCTTAAACCACGCTGCAGTTTTAAGGGTAATATGCATTTTTTCCAGCTGTGAAGTCATGTTCTACCTTTCCATGTATAAAACATTTTTTAAATTGCATCCATTATTAGTATGTGTTGATCTTACAGTTCTGCTGCACTGGATGTTCCCTAATTCAGAGAAGAAAATTTAGAAAGTGAAGGTGGTATCTGCATTCACATTGTTTTGTCTTTGTGCTGGCCCTAAATATGTTGGTAATTTTGCATTGTTTTTGTTTGCTTTTGTCTATTTCTTACAATACAATTGTACTCTGGATAAAGTTGGGAACACAGCATTGTCAGCAAATGCTACAAGATGTCCGGGGGTTTCAGGCACTGAGCCAAAGCTTACTGCAGCTGTCAGTTCTTCAAGTTCTTCATTAGCTGCTTTTGTTACTTGGATCTGCTTGCAGTACATTTTAAGCTTTTGAAACAGGAGAGGGAACACATTAAATAAAATCAGAGATTAATGTGGTTAATCTTTTATGGTGATTGCATTTCTAGTAACCTAGATTTAAGTTTACTTATTCATCTCCAGGGAAAGCACTGGACGACAGTGCTAATGCCTGGTATAAATGGTATTTATTTCTTCACAATCATTGCTGGGAAAACACTTGCTGTCACAAAGAGGTTAGAAGAAAAAGTTTTCTTTATTACCAGTGATCTCTCTGGCTGATTTTCTAATGCTTGTTGCAACACTTATCATTCCTGTAGAAATACCTGTCATATGACAAACTGGTTACATTTCTGTAGGGCACAACTGACTTCTAGAAATGTTTTAAAAAAAAAATAAATCCAAAACTGAATGAACTTAGAGACATAAATTTCCTGCCACAGCAAAAGAACAGTTTGTCTGCAAAAAGACTAGAAGAAATCAGGAGATCAAACTGAGGAAAGGAGGAAAAAGTAAGCTTGGAAAAGAAAGAGTGGAATCCTCTGATGAATTTTATTTGTATGTTGCATATGAAAAATGGGGGAGGAAAATCTATTTTGTGAGTGGAGATCAGGATTGTGAGATGAAGAGCATGGTTGCTCTTCCTGGCTATGGCATAGCTCTATAGAATAAATCTGTTCTTCAGAGGCGGATTTCTACGATGAAATCCCTTTTATCCTCCTGAATCTCAAGCAATCGTCCCTGTGCTCTCAGAAATATTGGCTAAATTTTTACTGCTACTCAAAGAACTCACTGCAGTGACTGCAGTCCTGGACATTTGTAACTATTCCCTTTATATACATTTTAGGCCCCTAAAAATCTCCCAGTGAGTTGCAGACAAGGAATATTTCTCCCTTTTGTAAGGTGACTTCAAACATATTCCAACCACCTGTACTTGGGAACTACATACGGAGAATGTGCCGGATGCAGGTCCTGTGTTCATATGTCTAAAAAACCATTTTTAAGCTCCTTGGGATCTTTCAACGTGAGCGGTCTACCTCAAATGAGAGCTTTAGAAGCTGGTCAGCAGAGGTTCTTTGGCCTACTTTCTGTATGCTTTGCTTTTATTTTTAACCCTGTTTCCTTTTTTTCGTTGTAGCTTTCAGAGGACATAAAGAAAAAATGGAAGTGAATAAAAAAATGTTCATTCGCCTCTTTTCATCTCAGAACTACTTCAGCTCACACGTCTTCTGCCTATAATACCCAACCCAACCCCTTTTTCATGCTCGAGTTCTCACCCTGCATCCTTCAATGTCTGACCTTGTAAATTATCATTAGGTGTTTCTGCTGCCTTTAATGGATTCATTTTGAGGAAATGAAGCTCATACCATTTCTCTTAATCTTTTCTATTGTCTGAGCTATTTGATGAAGAACTAGATCTTTTGGCACAATCTCTCTTTCGTGAACGGCTCCTGCCTGTCTGTAATCCAACATAAACCTTTCATTTTTTTTTTAATCTCTCCCTGTTCATCAATTCCTATGTTCTCCCCACTGTTCTGTTTGTATGATCAGTGCAATATTTGGGGTCCCCACTGTTCTGTTTGTATGATCAGTGCAATATTTGGGGGTCTTAGAGACCCAGCACTTCTTAAATATAACTCCTTGATTTGCTATTGTTTGTATCTTCCAGAAGCACATTCTCAGGAGATATTTCTACTGTGCAGCTTTCAGAATTTAATTCAGGAATCGAATATCTTTTGACTAAAAGTGAACCAAGTACAAAGCCTGTACAACTCTCACCCATGATACATTTAGTTCCACAGACTGTGGAATATGAAATAGGGAGTGCCAGTTGAACAAGTGGGTATGCACTTATCGTTTCCTCCTTGAGCAAGACAGATCATAGTCTTCTTCCCTAATTGTTTGGATATCACCCAAATGTAAGTTAGTCAAATTTTGCAAATATTTAAAAATCTATATTGGTGTCATAAACTATTTGCCTCAACTGGAAGAAGATGATCTGTGTAGCATCCTATTCATTCTCATTGTTGTAGATATGATGGCTGGAGTCTCAGGTTTGAGGGGGAAAAATGAGAGGGAGTCTTGAAAGTTGTCAAGGAAGTTAGTTGTCAATCATTCTCATCATCACCATCTGATGATAGATACGCATGAGTTCAAAATGCCAAATGAACATGATTTTTTCAAGTTACCATGAACAGGACCTAAGAGCAAAATATTGTTCTTTCTGTTTCCAGATTGGTGCTTCTCTGTTTGCCAGTAACATTGGCAGTGGACATTTTGTGGGAATAGCAGGAACAGCAGCAGCTGGAGGAATTGCCATCGGAGGATATGAATGGAATGTAAGTGGCATGCATTTAAGTGAACATATTTCTGACATCAGGATTATCTGCAAAAGTTAACCAAAATAACATTGCCTAATAATTTAGGACTCTCAAAGCTTGTGCTTGGCAACACTTGTTTTCTGTACAGACCAGTAAGTGCCAATGTAATCTACTATTTAATTCATCCTCCTTGGTCCTTGTCCAAGCCACTGGGAGAAGATGACCCTTTTCTGTTGAATGAGGCTTTTTAGAGAGCATTTGAACCAAATTAATTGGTGGATTCTCTTCTCTATACATATCTTTTGATTACTTTTCAAGTATTTATAAAGAGTACTTTCAGACTGCAGGATGTCGGGAAGAATTTATCAGTTTTGTAATCCATAGTATTTTTTACAGCATTTTGCTGTGTAGGCATTGTTGAAGGGACTTTGATTTCTTCACAGGCTATAAGAAATTATGGACATCCTTCACAACAATCTGCATTCCAAAAATCTTTTCCTCTTTACTTTCTCCTTCCTTTAATTATGTGTGTGTTTTTCTTATGGTTGCAGTATAGGGTAGAGATATCCAAGCTGACTTTAAATGAACTACTTGGGGTACCAGGGGTAGTGTTAACTGCAGCAGCACAGAGATTCACATGATCTAATTCAGTCCATTTCCTTGTATTCTCAGGCTCTGTGGGTGTGGATAATAATGCCTTTTTCTGCTGAATTCACCTTCATGGAAAGCATTATACCATGACACTAAGGTCTTAATGAGCGTACATAGGTCGATACTTTCCTTGCATATAATTCTGCACAGTGAAAGAAGCATACTACCCTGAGGGATTTGGCTTTTTTCCTTAGCAAGTAGATGGTTGCTGCAAATAGTCAAGTACTCATATGATATAAATATTTAAGAAGAAGGATAAAGGCTAAAATGAACTCTATGAGATATGCACAGTTAATGTCATCTTTCTCTGTTTGCTTACACTAGTCCTGTAACAAACCTGATCTCCCTTCTCTTTGTACCAAAACTAAGCAAAACAGAACAGAACAAGCATTGCTTGAAATGTCATGGTTTTCAAATCTCTAGGACCCATATCCTTCTTCAAACATATCCACCTCTAACACTTCATCTCCTGGGAGATTCTCTGTGGACTAATATCAATACACAGTGCACAACAATTGTTGTTTAGGAAGAAGCAATGATGCAGGTGTGTATTTGAGCAGATACATTACGTAGCTCATTACTTATGACATAGTGGGACTGGTGTACAGGTTAATAGACACGGTGGAAATACTGCTCTTGACTGTATAATCTGATTCTCCTCTTGAAAGAGATACTAAGTTTGACTGTTATCGTGCTTGTGTATGTCTATTATTCCACTGAAATTATTTCTAATTTGTATTAGTATGACAGCAGAAGCTGACCCTATATTTCTTGTCCGTCTTATGGTTTTGATCTAAGGACAGAACTTAAAAGATACAGTTAATAAAGCCATCTAAGCCCTGTGGACAGAATAAATGCAGAGTGCAGCTCTGAGAGCAGGATTTTGTTCTATATTTGTCGATTTAAATATGTACAACCCTATATCAGACAGCATTAGCTAGCCATTTAAGTCAGAAAACTGTGACACTGCAATACAGTAAGATCTATAGTTCACAAAATACACATGGTAACACAAAACATATTATGAAATGGTAATGTGGAAATACAAAATATTTAACTAAATGCATGCGGTACATCCTGTACAGTATGTGGGATTGTTGTAGAACATACGGCCATCTCACAGAGACCCAGTGCAGAAGGCAGATAGTGATCAAAATAATAATCAAAAGAAGTGCTGCTCTCCTCTGTACCTAGATTTGCAAGTGGCACAACATACCATTGCAGCATACCTGATTCTGAGTGGGAAAGTATCCTGCATTAGTGGCTCTGGGATCAAGATGCTAGCAAATAGGTCTCAGGCAGCAGGCTTCACCTTCCTTAATATTTCCCAGAAATGGTAGTCTTACGGGCTGGTTGCATTTTAACCATCGTTAAACCAGGATCCCTGGGCCTGCTCTGAAGAGGGCTGGGATAGTCTGGTGATGCTAGTGGAGTGGTGCTTTGATACTAGAGGGCAATCCTGTGAGCAGAAATCAGCTGTTTTTCTAGAAAATGTATTATTATCATGTGTGCTTCTCTGGGACATCTAGCATGAAATCCAGGCTGCATAATACCTGACAATTTTTTTGGCCAAGATTTCATTCCCAAATTTTCGACTGTAAATCAAAGGACAGAGCAGTTGTTCCTCCCCCCGAGCCCCACAATACCCAGGTTTATGAGGTTTCAATGGTCTCTAGCTGCTGTTGGGTCTGATAAATGGTCTTTGGGAGTGCTGTCTAGAGAGAGGAGGCTAATTCAGCTGATCTTGTCTTGGCTGCAGGCTCTGATATTTGTGGTTGTTCTAGGATGGCTGTTTGTACCCATCTACATCAAAGCTGGGGTAAGTCAAAACAGTACGTTACACTTTGCTGCTCATGTTTGCAGATCAGGACTTGAATATTGCAAAGCCATTATGAATGGCACGAGATCTGAGCATGCTAGAACTGTACTATATTATGTCTGTATGTATTTGAAAAATGAGGATTCTCTGTTCTGAGACCTGAGCTGAGAAGTACTTGGTACTCTCTCCTTGTTCTCCTTTGATTCCTGGAGCTGCTCTTCCTTGCAACTGCATTTGCAGCTCCCCTCCCTTTGCCCTCCGCTCTTACAGTATCTGAGTAGCAAAAAACTTCCTCTAATTTGCTTTGTATCTGTTCCCCATTATCTGAAACCTTATCTACCCTCCCTGCAGGTGGTGACAATGCCAGAGTATCTGAAGAAGCGTTTTGGTGGGAAACGGATTCAGGTCTACCTGTCAGTCCTTTCCTTGATCTTGTATATTTTCACAAAGATCTCAGTAAGTAAAACTTTTAAAGCATTTCTTCCATCCTACATTGATCGAAAGAAAAGAAACTCCCGTTTACAATATTGCTCACACAATTGGTAAATTGTTTCTGATTTGGAGCCCTTGGCTGAATTAAGGACTGTAAAAATATGATTTTGTGTTTTCTTTATTTTGTCTAGTGAGATTGTGTATCCAGATCTGTTCTTCAATCCAAGTTTTTTCCTTCCTGGCAATGTCTCTTGATGCTTGTTGTGCTTCCCCTTTCTTTTTCAGGTTTTAAGGTTTACTTCTACTTATGCTTTCGTCTAGAACAAGTCAGAGTCAAGGGAAACTTATATGATCTTGCAGTCTATCATCCTAGGGATCCGTGAAACATGTGGCAGGAATTTTTGTCCCCAAACTTCATATTTATCTGTTTTAGCATCCTCTGGTGAACATGCTGTCAGTTATATAGATGAGGGAAAAGAGCAAGAGAGCTATGGAGAAAAAGAGAATAACAGAAATTAGAAAATAAGGGAGTGGGGAAATGCAAAGGAGGGAAATTATAACAGCTGAGGTGAAAGGAGGGAAAACGAGAGATTCTTTTAATGGGCAAGTGTATTAAGTAAGTGGTTGTGTTGCTGTGAAGTAGTGAAGGCAGCTGGTATTTTCCATCTATCTTGAAACTACCAAGCCTCTAAGGAAGTCCACAGTTCAGGCATACCTCAGTCTGTTGTTTTGTAGAAGTTGCCATGGCAGATTACTCTTTGCCCTCTGAATGGGAGCCGAGTGATAATGGTGCAATTTAAGCTAAAAGATTGGCCTTTTGCTCTCATTCTCACATCTTTACGATAACTGATCCTTAGAAAGGTTATAAATTAAACAGGTTGGTACTGTGGAGCTGGCCTCAGAGTTGGATTTCCATATATTTCAAAAGGATTAGTTGATTTGCTGCTGTTGTGCTTAACTACCATAATCAGAAATCCCAGGTATGACACAGAGTTCTGGCAGCTCTAGCAGCTGAGAAATTCTTCCAGTCAGATGATTCACAGTCCTATTACTTGGGTGCCACTCTACCAGTGGCCCATCCCAGCTTCCCATCAACCCAATTATTCCAGATGCATGTCGGGAATTGCCATGGAGCTGGGTCTCTGTGCCATGCAGGGGAAAAATGTGGTGCACAAGTTCCTGTAACCATTTCTCTTGTTCCCCCCATCTGCCCAGAACAATTCTGACAGTGTCTGTCCCATGTACAAATGTGGCTCAGACTTCTGTAGTATACAAACGTGCCTTCTGCATTGTTGTCTTATGTCACTATATTCGGTAGGGCAGGATTTGCCCAGGTCTGTTTACTCGCCATGTCTTATTCAGAATAGGCAGAACAGTCAAAGTCCTTGGAGGTTTCAGGTACTGTCAGGGGATGTCAGAGTAGGTTTTTCTATACCATGCTATGCAACGCCATGCCCAAGTTGTCTCCAGATGAACCAGCTCCAGAAGCAGAAAGGGAAGGGCTGTTCCATCCTGGACCGTAGCTAACTTCTTTGTGCTGCGTAGAGATATGCATGCTAGGTGAAGCTAGCACAGGTCTCGCTTCTCAGAGGTACATTGTATATCCAAACATACCCATGCGTTGACAATCCATGCCATAGCCAGCTTGGAGATTTGCATTTTACTTCCTTGACTGCTGCCTTTGCAAACACAGCCTTGTGATCTTTGGGGCTTACTGAGATTTGATATAGAATGACGGGTTTCTGCCCTTCCCTTAACAGGCAGTCACACCTATCAGTTTGACAGTGATACTTACTGCCTCCTATCCCTGTAGAGGAGTGGCATCTTCTTTCTGGGGTAGTTATTTCATGTGCTGCTTCCTTGATGTGTTAAAATATTACCTAATCTTCTTAATAGTATAATTATTACAGTGCTTTCCAGTGAACAATATAATATGTTGGGTCGTGTAACTCCTGGCATGCTCTTTCCGGCACAGTGCCCACCACCATGTGATGATCAGATTCCCTTTGCACACCTCTGTACAAGGTCGTTACTATTTCTCTCTTTCCTTTCTGTGTATTTTTTATTGATTTCTTACCTTGTTTTGTGGCTAATCAACCACTTGCCAGACAAGGCCATGCTGCAAGGTATTGATCTTTGGGATCAGGACACAATCTTTGAGCCCAAAGGATTTCTGTTGCACAGGTGCCTCACATGTACATGCTTCCTAAGCATGCAGTGCTTTGTAAGTAATGCCCATAGCAGCTTTCAGGGGCTTGCTAGCCACTAGTGTTGCTGATATTGGCCATTATGCCAAAGAAAATGGCCTAGTAAAAATAAAATCTTGATGGAGAGTAATGGACTAAATTATGACAAGACAAAAGGGAATTAAGACCTGAATGAAGAAATCAGAAATTGTAAACCAGAATTTCTAAAAGTATTACAGCATTTTCTTTACATTCATTGTGCATAATTTCAGTAGTAAATATATGGGTATAGACTTACTGGGGGAAGAGGAGGTAGAAGGATAACCTCCTCTTAGGACTGCATGGTGTACGGGGTAAAGAGTATGTGCCACTGCCCTGAATCCCACATTAACATTGCAGCTGGATTCACTCAATTGGCCTTGACTCTGCCAGTTGTTCCTGCATGATCTGTGGATGGCTTTGGAGAGAGAGCTTGTAATGTAAAGATTTACTCTATTCAGAGATAAGATAAGGATTAAATAGTGTCCATAAAAGAGTATTAATGGAAAAACAAGGAAATATTGGAAGGAAATAATCTAATTGGGAGGGAGGAGCAGTGAAGTTGGAAGGTAACTCAGCAATTCGAAGAAGCTGATACATTGCTCAGGATGCTAAATAATTAACTATACATTTCTTTCTGGGGGTCATTTTAGCACCGTTAATATTTAAGGCTATGTAGGCTAAACTAAAGCCAAGACCAATAAAAGAAAGATCTGGGACATAAGATGGTCAGTGGTGTGAAAAGATAGGAAAAAAATATTCCCATAGGGAGAAGGGACAAAGAATATGCTCTAACAGCCACTGGGGTTAAGAGCTAAACATCCTGGTTCCCAGTTCCAAACTAAAACCTGTAAGAAATCAAATCATCTCAAGCTGCTCCAGAGGTGGAGTTCTGGGAGTGGAACCTCTGTTGTGATTCACACTCTGCTTCACAGTTGTTGTCTGCACGTCAGGGCAGTAGGGTTGGAAGGCCTCTTGCTGCAGAGGTCCGTACCTTTTCCTCGTTCTTGAGAGTGAACTAAGGGTGAGATCATACCCTGCAGTCTTGGTTTCAGCATCTCTGGAATGAATAGGGTTTCTTCATCTGGCATCTCCCAGCTAGCCAGACTGCATAACTGCTTATTAGTATATCTGCCCTGCCTTACCTCAGCCTAGCCATCGACAGAAGTGGTGCAAGTGCCTGTTCTGTGGTCACAGGCTCTGGTTGTCTGCAGCCTGGCCTGTGGAACCTCCCGCTCCTCCAGCAAGCTGCCACCTAGCAGATGCCCTGCAGTAATTGTGTGTGCAGGCTTTGCCGCAGGGCACATGTAATGTTGTTTGTCTTTGTTTCTCAGACCCTGCATATGGGCAGTTCCTGCAGCATTTTCCAGCTCCTGAGCTTGCTGCACACCATTAGGGCTTGTAATGTTAAATGAGGATAGGACTCCCTGTATAGAGTCCTTGTATAGGTGGTGTGGTACACAGAAAGGAGGCATGCAGGTGGGATTGGAGATGAGCCAGTGAACTGGGTGCTCAGGAGCAAGGATAAGTACAGATGCAAACCTCTAATGAAAGCATAATTTACAGTAATGCATTACAAGTGCACTGGGGTTGATTATTCTGATTGCAAACTTGGATAAATAACATTGATGCAAATTATCTCTAAATCAGGAACTGATTTAATGTGATTAAAATCCCAGAGTGTTACTCTGAAACCTGGACAATTCCTTTCTTATGCAAGAGCTAAAGGTCTCTTCTGTTAGCCAACTGATGTCAATTATTCTGACAGGAACTTAAAAATAGACATAAGATAAGACATTTGCCTTTTAATCACCATTTGTCCCGAACCAGCAAGACTAGCTATACCACATGTATGCAACCAGTAAAGAAAAAATAAGAGACTTATAGAGTAGCATTAAATGAAGAGAACCATGCCGTGTCTTGGAGGTGTCACAGAGTGCATCCGTGCACATAGCAGCAAGTGTAACCTGAGCTTTAAGTAATTCGTTATTAAGCTGTCTCTCAGTATGTAAGCACAGAGTAGTGAGGTGACTCTGTGTCTAGCTAAAAGGAGCCATTGAAGAAGATCTAGAAATTCTTTGAGAAGTGTTACAACTCTTGTACTGAAAGCAGCACGGCACTGAGAGGAGTCTGGCAGTTGTACTAAAATCATCTCTATTTTCATTTTGCACTTTTTGTGTGTGTGTGTGTGCAGTACTGTAAGGAGGGAGTTGTATATTTCAGTACCCTCATCATGAATGTGTAATGTGCCATCATCATGAATTTAAACATTGCTTAATCTATCATTTTTTCTTTTACAGGCAGATATATTCTCTGGAGCTGTATTTATACAGCTGGCCATAGGGCTGAATCTTTATTTGGCCATAATCATCCTGCTTGCTATTACCGCTCTTTACACCATCACAGGTGAGTTTGCAGAGAAGTCTGATAAATCAAAGAGGTTAGAGGAGCCAGAAAAAAGAGAAGAGGGGAGGTGGGTAAGAGGGGAGAAATGAAAACTTGAAAGGGGAGTAATTTACAGTGGTCTTTGTTTGAAAGAGAGAGGCGGTGAGAAAAGTAAAAAAAAGTATTTCCACTGAGGCACAGAGGCTAACCTATTTGTCTTGACTTTTCTTTGCCATTAGGTGGCCTTGCAGCTGTGATTTACACAGACACCTTACAAACATTTATCATGGTAGTGGGATCCTTTATTCTCATGGGATTTGGTAAGTAAATCAGCTGAATTAAACAGGAATGTTCAACCAGAAATCCCACAGTGGCTATGGAAATGGATCCTGCAGTGTGGAACCCTGTTGTCTGAACCAGCAGATTTCAGTTCATATACCTATTTGTCAGGGAAGAAAATAGACATATCGCCAAGCCCTTTAGTCATTGAGACCACTCCATCGCCAAAGCACAGGTGAATGTGTAGGTAATATATATCATCCCATGGCAGAACAGGACTTGTGATGGCTAATGAGGTAAAAGCAGAGCTGTTTGCAGGTGATGATGATACTCTTGAGAAGTTCAGAGAGTATCTTGTTTTAAGGTTATAATTTCATAGATATTCAAATGCTAATGCATGAAAATTTCTGATTCAAAGTGAAGAACTGTTGGTCACATTGCATGATTTTTCCTTGTTTCTAGCTGCTAGCTAGAAACAACCCAAACATATTAACATTTTAAGTAAGCCTTGTAGTTGATCTATGGATGTCATTATATTGCCAGCTGGACAAAAGATACGAACTGAATGTTTATGAATAGGACAATGAGTGTGTCCAGAAGACTATATGCATTTTAAAACAGAAATCATGCTGTTAAACAGAACTAATAGGAAGTATCTTCATGTCACTTCTTGGCAAGGCATGTATAAGAGATGTTGAGACAGCGGAGCCTAAACCAATGTTTGCGAGCTATACAGAAACCTAAAAGGAAAGGTCACTTTGGTACTTAGGTTCTGTGAATACTTAAAAAACACTGTTTTCTGAAAATGTTGGTGTATACTGGCTAGGGTTTTTTTACATCCATATTAAGGAGGTTTTTCTCCTCACATTCTCTAGCTCTATTTGAGATTTCAGTATTAAATGCTTTATTGCTACTTTTACTTTCTGTTTTTCAGCATTTTCTGAAGTAGGAGGGTATGATGCTTTCATGCGGAAGTACATGGAAGCAATTCCATCCAATATCTCCTACAAGAATACTACGATTAGTGAAAAATGCTACACTCCTCGGAACGATGCCTTTCACATCTTCCGAGATGCCGTCAATGGAGATCTGCCGTGGCCAGGGCTCGTCTTTGGTTTGAGCATCCTTGCTTTGTGGTACTGGTGCACAGATCAGGTAACGTGGAAGCCATATACCTTGGAAATGCTGAACACAAGACTCTGCAGCCTAGTGTGATCTAGGGGTACTCTTCCCCCACTGTAATTCAAAGCTGGGTCACGGAAATGGCAGTTATTTCAAGACTGGTCAGTGACTTTTCAGTTTCTGGTTTCTAAACCCCTCCCACATGTGAGAAAATGGAAAGGGTGTTCTTTCAATTTTTCTTATACACTGTGCCCAGCAGATACTGTGTATAATTCCTTTCTCACTTTTTGTGTGTGACCATGTGTAAAAACACAGAGAGGTTGTAATATGAACATTTACTTAGGAAACCATGCATCAAATGATCCTTGTTAGACTGGGTCTAGATATGATTCCCCATTGTTGTGGTTTAACCTGGTAGGCAGCTAAACACCACACAGCCGTTTGCTCACTCCCCCCTGCCCAGTGGGATGGGGGAGAGAATCGGGGAAAAAAAAAGAGTAAAATTCATGGGTTGAGATAAAGACAGTTTAATAGGACAGAAAAGGAAGGGAAAACAATAATAATGATAAGAGAATATACAAAACAAGTGATGCACAATGCAATTGCTCACCACCCACCGACCAATGCCCAGCCAGTCCCCGAGCAGTGGTCACCCCCCTCTGGCCAACTCCCCCCAGTTTATATATGGAGCATGACATCCCATGGTATGGAATAGCCCTCTGGCCAGTTGGGGTCAGCTGTCCTGGCTGTGCCCCCTCCCAGCTTCTTGTGCACCTCCAGCCTTCTCGGTCGGTAGAGCATGGGAAGCTGAACAGTCCTTGACTAGTGTAAGCACTGCTTAGCGACAACTAAAACATCGGTGCGTTATCAACATTATTCTCATCCTAAATCCAAAACACAGCACTGTACCAGCTACTGGGAAGAAAATTCTAGCCCAGCTGAAACCAGGACACCCATTCAGTAATACTAGTTTGTTTCCTATTTGTGCAGCTTTCATCTTTGCATGCACAGCCTTGGAGGATGTTCTTTATATGTCAGGTCTTTCAGCCTGGAGACTCTTCCCCAATCCTCCTTCCTGCTCCCTAAAACCTACCATCCAGTTTCCCCGAGAGATCGCACTGACATGAGTAGAGGAAAGTGTGCACCTGCAACTGCGACATGTGAATGTGTCCAATCTTTAGCAAGTGATCTCACTGCATTCTGAATTGTGAGAAATATGATCTTCACAATCTGTAAACAAATGAACAAACCCCTCAATGTAACTGTAGCTATTGCTCAGGTAAATACTTTATTCCTTTTTGGCTTTTTAGTCTATCTACTTTAAGAACATCTTGTGAGAAAGAGTCTTACCTCTTAAACATACACTGGATAAATGACATTTTCCTTGACTTATTTCAAATATATCCTTTGATTTTCATGTAGTTTTCATTTTTCCTAGTGACAGCAATGGTAAATAGGCTGTATCACTATCACAGAGATTAAGAAGTACCTTATATCTGGAACTTGGTATGGTATGTTCATGGAAATGCTATTCTTGGTTGAATCACACCTGCTTGCCATGTCTTCTTGACAGGTTATTGTCCAAAGATGTCTCTCTGGCAAGAACATGTCCCATGTGAAGGCTGGTTGTATCATGTGTGGATACCTGAAACTCTTGCCCATGTTTATCATAGTGATGCCTGGAATGATCAGCCGAATTTTGTATACAGGTATGCATGTGTATACAGAAATGCAAATTTCTTCTTGCTGCCTATATTTCACTGCCAATCTCTCTTAATTTCCTATTCTCTGTCCCTTCCAAACTACCTGTTAGATTGTCATCTTGTCATGCAAATTGTCCAGGCACATGTATGGACAAAAACTAGCTACACTGTAAGAAGCCACAGGTCTTCCTCTTTCCCCTGATCCCAGGTTTCTGCTAACGCTATTGCTGTTGGTTTTAGGGGAGAGAAATTCCACAGTGTCCCTCCCCAGTTGTATGTTTGTTACAGCCCCACTCTGGCTGAATGAGTGGAAAATGCTGTTCAGGACTGATACTCCGCTGGCAGTCAGAGGAAGAGGGTCATCAGTCACAGACAGCAATATTTTGGGCCATGGACAGTCCCGAGTGCGGTGTGGGGGAAATGCCAATCACCCTTCTCTCTCCCATCAGTGTGTTTAACAGCAGGCAGAGGAGAGATGTTCAGGTTGGAGGGAGAGGTCTTTCCAGTGTTCCTCTGCTGCTTCTTCTACTTGTTCTCCTTGTGTTGTTCAGCCCTGGTCTGACAAATTAATGCTGATTTTTTTTTTTTTTTTTTTTTTTTTTTGACCTGCAACACTTTTCAGTATTTTTTTAGAGAGGAAAGGAAGGATAGAGGCTTAGAATCACCTTCCTCCCTGCCAGCAGACCAAGGATGATATCAAGCATGTCAATCCAGTGGTTTAACACGGAGATAAATTTTAGAAGCTCTACTAATTTGGGAGCAATCTGTTGTTTATATGACCTTGTCTAACCCTGTCTTGTTATCCTCTCCTCAGATGTGGTGGCTTGTGTTGTGCCTGAAGTCTGCCAGCAGTACTGTGGCACTGCAGTTGGCTGTACAAATGTTGCTTATCCAAAAATGGTAGTGGAGCTTATGCCAAATGGTAAGACACTGTCTGTATTTGTTTGTTTGTTTGTTTTAGGAAAGGTGAGGCTGCCAGACTGTAAAAACAGCTGATAGAGGGAGCCCAAGTCCCATATTTAGTTCAAAAATCCTTGCTAGAACTATGTACTATTAATCAAAGGGGTAGTCTATATTAGTTGTAGCTGTAGGTGCAGAATAGCTACGCGCTGACAATGTCAGCTTTCAGCTGGCAAATACTGGGTGATGAAATGGTAATTGAGCTCCCTTTCTGTGAAGGTAAAAAATAGCCTACTTTGCCAATGATTTATAACAGACTATCTCTGCCAGGATTTCTGAGTTGGAGGTATACACCTGCAGTCCTTCTGCTAAACCCACGGAGGTGGGAGGAGAAAATACTCTATGTACACATTGTCCCCTGTTCAGTGAGAGAACAAGGCACCACTCTGGAGAGGACAGCGTATACATAGAAGATAAATTTCTGCAGAAAACCGCAGAGCTGGTTCATAAGGCTAGAAAGACAGATTATGATATTATATAGATCATGGTACTTTCCTGATATCTTTAGTACTTCCCCATTGTATTATAACTGTTGTACATAGTATTATTAAAATACTACAGTACTTCCTCATACTGTGTTGACTAGATCATACCAGCTGGAAAAGTGGCTTACTCTGATCTTCAAACAGTAAAAGAAGCTTTGTTTTTTTGCCAAACAACTGGTTTACAAATACACTGCAAGCAAGTGAGCACTCACCTGCAAACAAGAGAAATTATTTTTATAACTGTTGGGGAAATTCTGCTTAGTATTTTTTTCTTATTATTTCTGCATTTAATCAGACAGCTGTCACAAAACAAGTATCTATGTTCCAAAAGCTCAAGAGTTGCCCTGTCTCTGCTGTAAATAGACAGCATATGAATAAATAATTCCATATAATAATTTGGAATAAGTAATTCCAAAGCTCAGCAGACATCACTCTGCTTGCATTGCAAGAGAACGTGAGGCAGGCATCAGCACATGAATATGCCAGACACACTCATAGCTGGCTGACTTCAAAGGGTCAGGCAAGCACTACGGATGGTGCCATGTACTGAGACTCTTCACTGAATGCTCATCTCAGTTCACGTATCTTCGTATTCCAGGTCTGCGGGGTCTGATGTTGTCAGTCATGTTGGCTTCCCTTATGAGCTCCCTGACTTCCATTTTTAACAGCGCTAGTACTTTGTTCACTATGGACATTTATACCAAAATTCGATCACGACCATCTGAGAAAGAGCTTATGTTAGCTGGAAGGTAAGTGCAGCCGAGTCTTCCCCAGCCGTACAAACATAGCGAGCACTTAGATGCGTTACAGACTGCAGCCTCCAAAAAATGCACTAAATGCCTGGGTGAAAACCTGCTTTCGCAGTGTGCGGGCAGTGCAGCAGTGGCCTCCTGCGGCCAGACAGGCTGTCCCACCGTACACTTCCCTTTTGGAAAAAAAACCAACGACCTTGCTTCCAATTTAATTGACAGTGGTGCATGAAGTAGCTAAACTAATTCTCAACACTTCCTACTGCTATTCCAGGGGAATTGTTTTAAAATATCTTCATAGGCTTTATGCTACACCATACTACAGCATCAATGAACTAGTTCTTCTAGTTGATCTGCTATTGATTTGTCTCTAGACATAACAAAGGGAAAAAAGTGATTTTCTGTGTTTTGATTGCATGTTTAGCTGTATGCTGACCGATATTTGACAGACACAATATCCAGCTTGGATTTCTTTTGTTTGTTCAACGGTAATTGGCCATTATAATTGATTTTGCTGGTTGAAATACAAAATGGACATTTAAATTATTGATTAATTGCTGTTTTTTTCTTTCTGATAGATGCTTCTAAGCAGGTGGCTAATTGAATATCTGGCTATGTTTACAGGGCATTTATGTTACTTTTAATTGGCATCAGCATTGCCTGGGTTCCTGTGGTGCAGTCAGCTCAAAGTGGGCAGCTCTTTGACTATATTCAGTCAGTTACTAGCTACCTGGGACCTCCCATTGCTGCTGTCTTCCTGCTTGCCGTCTTCTGCAAGCGGGTCAATGAGCAGGTAAGTACAAATTAGGAAACAGGTTTGCTGCAGGTTCCTTTAGGCATTAGGACAACTTTTTTGTTTTGGTGTCTTTTATTAGCAACTTCTTCCTGTTTATTTTGATCCTACTACAGCCCAGGGATTCTGTGTTTCCATACCCCAGGGCCTGAGGTTTCAGAGAGGAGTTTGAAAAAGTTCTTTGCTAATCCGATAAATAGTCACCTAGGAATTCCTAGATAGCTCGGAAACTTAGGTTATCTATCACTTTGCCAAGAAGTGTGTCAAATGGATAATTTATGGTGACATATGTGAAAGTAATCTTTTAGGATATTGGCCACCAAACTGCTTTACAAAACATACCACTTTTCACCTTCCTCATGACCACTACATATTTTGTCAACACTCTTTTAAACAAACATGCTGTTGTTTTATGCATTGTTTCCCATTGCTTTTAGGACCCAGTCTGGGAATCACTGGTTTTGATTCGTAGAGCAGTGAACTGATAAATATTGTATTTAAGCCTTTGTAAGTAACTCAGAAGGCATGAGGTCTGTCACATGCTTTGATGGGACCATAGGCCAGTCGTGGTAACTGGGGTCTCAGACATCCTGAAAACTCAGTACTCAGGAATTTGGTTTCTTTTCTATAATACTAGGAATAACAATACTTGCCTATTGCTCAGGTTTGCTCCGAGGAGGATGAGTTCAACGAGAAAGCCTAGAGAGAGGAGGTTTTTGAATATGGCTCGAACTTTTTTCTCACTGTTTTCTCTTGAGACCAGTTCAGTGGTTATTTGTGTGTATATCCCAGAAAAGCCTGTTTTACACACAAGGGATGTTCCATTTCCTATCCCAATATGGCTAAACCTCACAAATGGATTAAATCTTTGTGCCCTTCGTGGAAACCTGTCATTGACTTTAGCTGGAATTTTACCTGAGTAAGAATTCAGTATAATTCTCGGGGGGTTTGTGTACACTGCACACTTTAAATTTGGGAAAATAGGGGAGATGAGGATCAAAGCTTCTGAGAACTGGAGCCTTGCATAAGATGAATTCCAATATTGTAATTACTTAAAAGATTTATCAACATTTCTTGCTCAGAATCATTATTCTTTCTGCTAGAAATGGAATTAACTATCTTGTCCTACTTCAAAACGTTTTTGTGACTTTGACCACTGAATAATGAAAACCGTTTTGTTCTTAAACCCAGCGTTAAACCCAGAATATTTTTTGATCAGGAATTATAAATTTGTGTTACCATCATTAGTTTTTTGACTTCACAGACTCACAGAATGGTTGAGATTGGAAGGCACCTCTGGACTAGTGCAAGCCCCACCCCCCCCTCAAAGTAGGGCTAACAAGAGCAGGATGCTCAGGTCCTGTCCAGTTGGGTTTTGAATATCTCCAGGGATGGAGACTCCACAATGTGTCTAGGTAACCTGTTCCAATCACCCTCACAGTAAAAAAGAAATAAATTTATGTTTAAACAGAATTTCCCGTATTTCAATTTGTGCCCAGACATACCTGTGTGTCTTTTATACTTTGGGCTAATATAAACCTAGCAGCAAAACATCCACCAAAAGTGTCAAGAATTAACTTGTAATTAATTACTGACAAGGTCATTAGAAAATAAACCAGACACGTACTTCAGGAGGAATGACACACTTGCTAGCTGGTTCCATCAGGCTAGAACAGTCAGGGATTTAGCCCTCAAAGGTGAAAAGATATGAGAACCACCCTTGGGATGTGTAGTCTGTGGCTAGAGCCTGTCCTGTATGAGGAGAGCATTGTGTGGAGATGGATGAACTTTGAGAAATGAGCTCGTTAAGGTGTTCTCCATATTCTTTCTCCGAGCTGCTGGTCATTGCCCCTTTTAGTTGTATTAGTACACTGAGCTGTAAATAGAGTCACTGAAAGTAGCTGGGTTAAAACCCATGTGCCAAAGCCAATGTAACACATAACTACCTCCACGTTTCCTCCAGCAACTATTCAGAGCTTAGAGCTCATTTCCATGCCTGAAATTACTCATTTTGATAACTTCTGTCACTTTGTCTGCAGGGTGCCTTCTGGGGCCTGATGGTTGGGCTGCTAACTGGACTCAGTAGAATGATTGCAGAGTTTGCCTATGGAACTGGCAACTGTGTGACCCCTTCCAACTGCCCATTCGTCATCTGTGGGATTCACTACCTTTACTTTGCAATGATTCTTTTTGGGGTTACCGCCATCGTCATCCTGGCAGTCTCCTTCATGACTAAGCCCATTCCTGATGTACATGTGAGTATTATTGCAGTCCTGCTCCTCAAGAAATGGAACTTAATGAAACCACTAGTTTTGAACACTGGTACTTGGTATATTACCTCCTGACATTTCAGCTACCCACATCATATAGTCCTTGTAAGAAAGCAAAGGAAATAGCCTTCATTCGTCTGTCACAAATCTTCAGTGACTCCTAATAACCTTAAATGTTGACTTAACAGACATTTGGGATGCCATGGTCTTATAGCTTGTTCACGTGCTGGCCAGACTGATTTGTCTCTGTGTAGTAAGGCTGTAGATTTATAAACTCATTTTGTTTCACGGCAGCTTTACCGCTTGTGCTGGTCTTTGCGGAACAGCAAAGAAGAACGTATTGATCTTGATGCAGATGAGGAACAGGACAAAGCTGATGAAAAAGATGAGGAATCAGGTAACTGTTGAATATCTATAGATTCTATCAATATATTTGAGTATCCCTATTTCATTCCTGAAGAAACATGAACATGCTTGATATTCAAAGACACACTCGCCTCCCCCAAAACAAAACCTCAAACCCCACATATTTAAATGGCTAGTAAGCTGCCTTTTACCAATCTATCGAGCTCAGTGTAAATCAGAAGTGAAGTGGATTTGAAGGGAGAAAATCTTGTTCTCTAGGTAGCTAGGTGGCAGTTCGAGGGTTAAAACAATGGAGATGCTTCAGGTCAGAGGTGGTGTGCGTTGGCAGAACTGCGTGTGACTCCAGCGTTTGGAATGAAACAACAAGATTTCACTTGGAAACAGTGGGTAGCAGCCAGGACTGAAGGAGCAAGGATGTGGTTCAAGGCACCATGAAAGCGAATTGCCAGACATCCATCTGGGCAAAACCACCTGCTCTCTTTGCTGGGTTTCTGCTTCTGCTGCCAAGTTCCTTTTCATAAGTATCCTCAAACTCATTTATTTGTCTTTTAATTAAAAAGTGTAGAAAGTATTGAAAAAACGGAGTTTAAGCTTTGCAGCATGGCAGCGTGGTTTGCTTCTCCAATACCAGACCAAGTCTCTAGGCTGCAAAAGGTGCAAGTATCTGCTGCAAAAGGCTCTCTTGCAACATGTAGAAAATGACTTTTTCCAGGTGAGCTGTGAAAACACAATGTTAACTTGATTCTTGTACTGCCTCGTACTAAAATGTTTCCATGCAACTATAACCATAAATCAGAATTGCTGTATTAAACATAGGAATGTCCTCAGTCACAGAGACCTTCTAGTGCATGCAGCGGTCCATGTTCACATTTCATGACCAGTGTGTTATTCCTTCCAGTTAATGAGGAAAGTGAGGAAGAACCGGGATGCGTTAAGAAAGCGTACAACTGGTTCTGTGGCTTAGATCAACAAAAAGGACCCAAACTGAGCAAGGAGGAAGAGGAAGCGTTGAAGAAGAAACTGACTGACACAAGCGAAACGCCACTTTGGAGAAATGTTGTGAATATCAATGGCATCATCCTATTGACTGTGGCTGTATTTTGCCATGCCTTCTTTGCATAAACCTCTGATTACAGTTCTGAAATTGTACTGTATTGTCAAGCAAAAATGATGACTTGTAAATCTAACGATTTACAGAGTTAGATACACTTAGTATTTTCATTGTCTACGTTTGTAAAAAATCAGGGTGATTCACGCGCTGATTTTGTGATCATAATTTCAACAATCTAAAGATGAAGGCCACTGGGATTTCAAGAGAGAGAATTTCTGTTTAGACGCTGAATCAGTCCAGAGCTAATAGAGGTTCAGAATTTCCATCCAATATTCTCTCTTCTCGTGATAGTTTTCATATTTTAGGTGCAGAACGAGGCTGCATGAGCCATGTTTCATATCAGGGTTTGCGAACTGCCTTTTAGGGTTGGTTTTCAACCCTTCTTCTTCTGATCATTCAAATTTCTTTTTCCTTTGGATTACAAAAAACCCACAACAACTGAGGGACCGTATTATGAATTCAAATTAAAAAATCGTTTTTGTTCCCTCCGAGCATGGGATATCTTAAGTAAAGGATTTATGTATATGTTGATGTATTTGACACTATATCTAACTTTCCATTATAACTTTTTTCCCCTTTTTCTCACTTGTCATTGTGTTGTGTTTCTCAGTAATCAGTGGAACACTAACCGTCTGAATTGATCGCATTTTGAAATTAGGGAAAACCTGTCTCGATGATCTTAATAAGAATTATGCTTACAGTAGATTATCTGTTTAAAGTCAACTTCAAAAGGTCCTCCTCTCTTTATATTTTAATATGTGTCTATACTTGAATGTGATGCTTTTTTATACAAAATACATATATTATATATATACAATACATTATATATATGCACTATATATATTATATATATTTAAAATATATATGTGTGTGTGTATATATATATTTATTTCCTACTGATCAATTCCCATGTTGGTATGTCAAAGTTAATCTCTATGCACAATTACTAGGACCTCTTTATCGTGGGGTTGGTGTTAAGATATCGTCTCTTTCTATGGGCTGTACTACAAACCAATCCATGCACATGGTTAAAAGTCCAAAGCATCAGAATGCTGGGTTTGCATTTTTCTTTCAAGTGCATTTGAGGGCTCTGTACTGCTTTTCTGCAAAGCTAGAAATCTTTCTTCTGAAGATTTCATTG